TTAATTTAATATCAGAATTTTTATGGTTAAAAACAGAAAATATTGGCTATGTATGAAGTAGTGTGATAGAAAAGAGGCTTCAGGTTTAAAGTGTTTGAACATTAGTTTTAGACAATAATAAATAAAACTAGCTTAGGGAAATTTTTTCGGAATCGTTTTCTGAATTAAAATTTTTACATGTTGAAAATAATGCATTTCTGTCGATTGCTTAACCAATATATTGCTTTAAAATAGCTTAAAAAAACTTGACATATGATTCATAATATCAACACAGATGTATTTGTGTATTCTATTTATTTATTTTTAATCTTTGGCCCACTTAACACAGCATAAAATATGTATGAATATAATTGAAAACAAAAATCTCATACCTAAAAAATATTAATAAKTATGAGCAACTAAATTATATAATAAAGCTCATCATCATCATTGTCGTCATTTATCATAAATGATGGACATTAATAATTTTTTTATAAATTTGAATATATCAGTGTAAATAAATATAAAATAATGGTAAATGGTAATAATTAAAACTAATAACATATCACAGAAAATATCAAAATTAAGTTTACAATAAGTTGTGCTTAATGAAATGGTAACTTTCAACACTTTTAATCTAGCAATGATTTAGGAAAAAGATTCATATCAATGTAGTCATCGACAACCTGCAAACAAATTATGTCAGTAATTAACATTCTTATTAAGCATATTCTGAACACTAATTTATAGCAACCTGTTTCAGTAGTTCAACCGTGATCGTTGGRTGTTTCAATGTGAAACTAGAATTATTCATAAATTTACTGCCATTCATTTGAATACGATAACCGTTCAAGTGATCTTTGTGAATAAACGGAGACAAAGGAGTGTTATGGACATTAGACTTTGAACATGCTTCGGCCCAAGGTATAGAATGTTTGTCATTAGCTTCGGATGCAATAGTATCAAGATCGTTCTAAAACAAAACATTAAGTAAGTACACAAATATGTAATTATTTATTTTGCTTTAAGCCCAATGGCCTATGTTACCAAGGATATATACAATTAAATAAAAAACTACATTTTTTATTGTTAATCAGTAATAAAACAACAATAATATCATGGTATTTTGAAATGGAAATAATAATAGCTAACATACTTTACATAAAGATGAAAGAACAGAGCCTAGAAACTCGTGTTTAACTCCAAACAATGATGACACAATTTCAGCTATCACATCTTGTGTGGTCTGACCACTGTCCACTAAATTGTAAGTTTCTCCTGCAGCTTCTGGTGATTTTAACAAATACCAT